CGACGTGGTGACCAAACCAGGTGGCTGCTGAGTTGTGTGTGGACGTCGTCTATGTTTGGTGGCTTGACAATGAATGCAAGGAGGGCCCTTGCGATGACAGTTTGTGCAAGTGGTACGAATACCAGTGCGTTTGTTTGAGATGGACATTGACACTTTTCGGCAATCGATGACATAGAAGGAGAGACTGGACGGAGCATGCTAATCGCGCTAAGAGAAAACGTGTCCGTCTGAACGAGTCGACATGTTCGTGTCGATGTGAACATGCAGATACAAAGACATTGGTCGTGACAAGATGATCTGATCTGAACGTGCTGCTGGAAGAACGTGGTGGAAAAGGTGTTGACCTTCGCGAGGTGGCTGGCTGACAACTGGCTGCAAAGCCTCGACAGTATATATATTGGCGAGCTCCAACTGCCCGACAGCACCGAAAGTACAGGTGGTCGATTCTTCCGTCGACAGGTTGACATGCTGAGCCAAGTGATGACGAAAAGTAGCGACAAACAGCCTCACAAACAAGAGCGAGTCCGGCGGTGCACGCAGATTTTTCTTCTTGCTCGGCTTCCGTGTCGTCTCGTTCGTGAGCCCGTCTGCATGCGCTGCAGCATGTCAGTCGGCGCGATGTCCAGCATGTGTGAGGTCTACCATCCCCATCCGCCACCGTAGCCTCCCCCATCCACCGTAGCCACCCCATCCTCCGAAGCCACCCCAGGGACGTCCCCATCCCAAGCCTCCCCACCACTCCTTGGACACCTTGCCTTCCGCACCGATGACGGCAGTAGGCTCGTTTTCCGCAGCTACATCAGCAGCAGCCTCAACAGGATGCGAATGTCGCTCGGTAGGACCCGCTGCCATCGTGTCAGTGCTGGGTGTAGCTGGTTCCGATGCAGCAAGGGCTCGGAGCGCCGGCTGGTAGTCAGTAGCTGAGGCGACGCTTGCTACAGCAACTAGCGCGGTGACGGCGAGAGCAGTGCACTTCATGGTCGATTTGGTCGGTTGGTCAGTACTTGCTCGCTAGGTGTTGGTGTGGTAGTGCCAGTTGGTTTGTGAGTGCGATCGATGTACGAGCTAGCGAGTGGGCTGGTGTTGCGACGAGTGACTCGTCACGTAGCGTCATGGTGACTGCTTCAATTGATTGAGTTGATTGATTGCAAATCGAGTAGATGGTTGAAAAGTCGGCGCGTCTCGATCGCGTTTCCAGTCACGAGCGTGGAATAGAACTTCGAGCGAGGTTTGAATTCCACTGTAGTTTTGTCGACATGATGGACGGTTGATGGTCGTCGAAGAAGGTCGCGGAGGGTGGTAGTCCGGTTCCGTCGCTCATGAATCGGTGGTACCTGCTAGAAGACAACCATAAGTAGAATGGTGAAGGTCCATAAGTAGAACGGTGGAGGCGTGTGTATCTCTGGCTGGTGATCAATGTTGGTGACCGACGTCGATGACTGCGTTGTGTCCGTCGACATCAACGTCGACGTGGTGACCAAACCAGGTGGCTGCTGAGTTGTGTGTGGACGTCGTCTATGTTTGGTGGCTTGACAATGAATGCAAGGAGGGCCCTTGCGATGACAGTTTGTGCAAGTGGTACGAATACCAGTGCGTTTGTTTGAGATGGACATTGACACTTTTCGGCAATCGATGACATAGAAGGAGAGACTGGACGGAGCATGCTAATCGCGCTAAGAGAAAACGTGTCCGTCTGAACGAGTCGACATGTTCGTATCGATGTGAACATGCAGATACAAAGACATTGGTCGTGACAAGATGATCTGATCTGAACGTGCTGCTGGAAGAACGTGTTGACCTTCGCGAGGTGGCTGGCTGACAACTGGCTGCAAAGCCTCAACAGTATATATATTGGCGAGCTCCAACTGCCCGACAGCACCGAAAGTACAGGTGGTCGATTCTTCCGTCGACAGGTTGACATGCTGAGCCAAGTGATGACGAAAAGTAGCGACAAACAGCCTCACAAACAAGAGCGAGTCCGGCGGTGCACGCAGATTTTTCTTCTTGCTCGGCTTCCGTGTCGTCTCGTTCGTGAGCCCGTCTGCATGCGCTGCAGCATGTCAGTCGGCGCGATGTCCAGCATGTGTGAGGTCTACCATCCCCATCCGCCACCGTAGCCTCCCCATCCACCGTAGCCACCCCATCCTCCGAAGCCACCCCAGGGACGTCCCCATCCCAAGCCTCCCCACCACTCCTTGGACTTCTTGCCTTCCGCACCGATGACGGCAGTAGGCTCGTTTTCCGCAGCTACATCAGCAGCAGCCTCAACAGGATGCGAATGTCGCTCGGTAGGACCCGCTGCCATCGTGTCAGTGCTGGGTGTAGCTGGTTCCGATGCAGCAAGGGCTCGGAGCGCCGGCTGGTAGTCAGTAGCTGAGGCGACGCTTGCTACAGCAACTAGCGCGGTGACGGCGAGAGCAGTGCACTTCATGGTCGATTTGGTCGGTTGGTCAGTACTTGCTCGCTAGGTGCTGGTGTGGTAGTGCCAGTTGGTTTGTGAGTGCGATCGATGTACGAGCTAGCGAGTGGGCTGGTGTTGCGACGAGTGACTCGTCACGTAGCGTCATGGTGACTGCTTCAATTGATTGAGTTGATTGATTGCAAATCGAGTAGATGGTTGAAAAGTCGGCGCGTCTCGATCGCGTTTCCAGTCACGAGCGTGGAATAGAACTTCGAGCGAGGTTTGAATTCCACTGTAGTTTTGTCGACATGATGGACGGTTGATGGTCGTCGAAGAAGGTCGCGGAGGGTGGTAGTCCGGTTCCGTCGCTCATGAATCGGTGGTACCTGCTAGAAGACAACCATAAGTAGAATGGTGAAGGTCCATAAGTAGAACGGTGGAGGCGTGTGTATCTCTGGCTGGTGATCAATGTTGGTGACCGACGTCGATGACTGCGTTGTGTCCGTCGACATCAACGTCGACGTGGTGACCAAACCAGGTGGCTGCTGAGTTGTGTGTGGACGTCGTCTATGTTTGGTGGCTTGACAATGAATGCAAGGAGGGCCCTTGCGATGACAGTTTGTGCAAGTGGTACGAATACCAGTGCGTTTGTTTGAGATGGACATTGACACTTTTCGGCAATCGATGACATAGAAGGAGAAACTGGACGGAGCATGCTAATCGCGCTAAGAGAAAACGTGTCCGTCTGAACGAGTCGACATGTTCGTGTCGATGTGAACATGCAGATACAAAGACATTGGTCGTGACAAGATGATCTGATCTGAACGTGCTGCTGGAAGAACGTGTTGACCTTCGCGAGGTGGCTGGCTGACAACTGGCTGCAAAGCCTCGACAGTATATATATTGGCGAGCTCCAACTGCCCGACAGCACCGAAAGTACAGGTGGTCGATTCTTCCGTCGACAGGTTGACATGCTGAGCCAAGTGGTGACGAAAAGTAGCGACAAACAGCCTCACAAACAAGAGCGAGTCCGGCGGTGCACGCAGATTTTTCTTCTTGCTCGGCTTCCGTGTCGTCTCGTTCGTGAGCCCGTCTGCATGCGCTGCAGCATGTCAGTCGGCGCGATGTCCAGCATGTGTGAGGTCTACCATCCCCATCCGCCACCGCAGCCTCCCCATCCACCGTAGCCACCCCATCCCCCGAAGCCACCCCAGGGACGTCCCCATCCCAAGCCTCCCCCACCACTCCTTGGACACCTTGCCTTCCGCACCGATGACGGCAGTAGGCTCGTTTTCCGCAGCTACATCAGCAGCAGCCTCAACAGGATGCGAATGTCGCTCGGTAGGACCCGCTGCCATCGTGTCAGTGCTGAGTGTAGCTGGTTCCAATGCAGCAAGGGCTCGGAGCGCCGGCTGGTAGTCAGTAGCTGAGGCGACGCTTGCTACAGCAACTAGCGCGGTGACGGCGAGAGCAGTGCACTTCATGGTCGATTTGGTCGGTTGGTCGAGTACTTGCTCGCTAGGTGTTGGTGTGGTAGTGCCAGTTGGTTTGTGAGTGCGATCGATGTACGAGCTAGCGAGTGGGCTGGTGTTGCGACGAGTGACTCGTCACGTAGCGTCATGGTGACTGCTTCAATTGATTGAGTTGATTGATTGCAAATCGAGTAGATGGTTGAAAAGTCGGCGCGTCTCGATCGCGTTTCCAGTCACGAGCGTGGAATAGAACTTCGAGCGAGGTTTGAATTCCACTGTAGTTTTGTCGACATGATGGACGGTTGATGGTCGTCGAAGAAGGTCGCGGAGGGTGGTAGTCCGGTTCCGTCGCTCATGAATCGGTGGTACCTGCTAGAAGACAACCATAAGTAGAATGGTGAAGGTCCATAAGTAGAACGGTGGAGGCGTGTGTATCTCTGGCTGGTGATCAATGTTGGTGACCGACGTCGATGACTGCGTTGTGTCCGTCGACATCAACGTCGACGTGGTGACCAAACCAGGTGGCTGCTGAGTTGTGTGTGGACGTCGTCTATGTTTGGTGGCTTGACAATGAATGCAAGGAGGGCCCTTGCGATGACAGTTTGTGCAAGTGGTACGAATACCAGTGCGTTTGTTTGAGATGGACATTGACACTTTTCGGCAATCGATGACATAGAAGGAGAGACTGGACGGAGCATGCTAACCGCGCTAAGAGAAAACGTGTCCGTCTGAACGAGTCGACATGTTCGTATCGATGTGAACATGCAGATACAAAGACATTGGTCGTGACAAGATGATCTGATCTGAACGTGCTGCTGGAAGAACGTGTTGACCTTCGCGAGGTGGCTGGCTGACAACTGGCTGCAAAGCCTCGACAGTATATATATTGGCGAGCTCCAACTGCCCGACAGCACCGAAAGTACAGGTGGTCGATTCTTCCGTCGACAGGTTGACATGCTGAGCCAAGTGATGACGAAAAGTAGCGACAAACAGCCTCACAAACAAGAGCGAGTCCGGCGGTGCACGCAGATTTTTCTTCTTGCTCGGCTTCCGTGTCGTCTCGTTCGTGAGCCCGTCTGTATGCGCTGCAGCATGTCAGTCGGCGCGATGTCCAGCATGTGTGAGGTCTACCATCCCCATCCGCCACCGTAGCCTCCCCATCCACCGTAGCCACCCCATCCTCCGAAGCCACCCCAGGGACGTCCCCATCCCAAGCCTCCCCACCACTCCTTGGACACCTTGCCTTCCGCACCGATGACGGCAGTAGGCTCGTTTTCCGCAGCTACATCAGCAGCAGCCTCAACAGGATGCGAATGTCGCTCGGTAGGACCCGCTGCCATCGTGTCAGTGCTGGGTGTAGCTGGTTCCGATGCAGCAAGGGCTCGGAGCGCCGGCTGGTAGTCAGTAGCTGAGGCGACGCTTGCTACAGCAACTAGCGCGGTGACGGCGAGGAGTGCTCGCTAGGTGTTGGTATGGTAGTGCTAGTTGGTTTGTGAGTGCGATCGATGTACGAGCTAGCGAGTGGGCTGGTGTTGCGACGAGTGACTCGTCACGTAGCGTCATGGTGACTGCTTCAATTGATTGAGTTGATTGATTGCAAATCGAGTAGATGGTTGAAAAGTCGGCGCGTCTCGATCGCGTTTCCAGTCACGAGCGTGGAATAGAACTTCGAGCGAAGTTTGAATTCCACTGTAGTTTTGTCGACATGATGGACGGTTGATGGTCGTCGAAGAAGGTCGCGGAGGGTGGTAGTTCGGTTCCGTCGCTCATGAATCGGTGGTACCTGCTAGAAGACAACCATAAGTAGAATGGTGAAGGTCCATAAGTAGAACGGTGGAGGCGTGTGTATCTCTGGCTGGTGACCAATGTTGGTGACCGACGTCGATGACTGCGTTGTGTCCGTCGACATCAACGTCGACGTGGTGACCAAACCAGGTGGCTGCTGAGTTGTGTGTGGACGTCGTCTATGTTTGGTGGCTTGACAATGAATGCAAGGAGGGCCCTTGCGATGACAGTTTGTGCAAGTGGTACGAATACCAGTGCGTTTGTTTGAGATGGACATTGACACTTTCCGGCAATCGATGACACAGAAGGAGAGACTGGACGGAGCATGCTAACCGCGCTAAGAGAAAACGTGTCCGTCTGAACGAGTCGACATGTTCGTATCGATGTGAACATGCAGATACAAAGACATTGGTCGTGACAAGATGATCTGATCTGAACGTGCTGCTGGAAGAACGTGTTGACCTTCGCGAGGTGGCTGGCTGACAACTGGCTGCAAAGCCTCGACAGTATATATATTGGCGAGCTCCAACTGCCCGACAGCACCGAAAGTACAGGTGGTCGATTCTTCCGTCGACAGGTTGACATGCTGAGCCAAGTGATGACGAAAAGTAGCGACAAACAGCCTCACAAACAAGAGCGAGTCCGGCGGTGCACGCAGATTTTTCTTCTTGCTCGGCTTCCGTGTCGTCTCGTTCGTGAGCCCGTCTGTATGCGCTGCAGCATGTCAGTCGGCGCGATGTCCAGCATGTGTGGGGTCTACCATCCCCATCCGCCACCGTAGCCTCCCCATCCACCGTAGCCACCCCATCCTCCGAAGCCACCCCAGGGACGTCCCCATCCCAAGCCTCCCCACCACTCCTTGGACACCTTGCCTTCCGCACCGATGACGGCAGTAGGCTCGTTTTCTGCAGCTACATCAACAGCAGCCTCAACAGGATGCGAATGTCGCTCGGTAGGACCCGCTGCCATCGTGTCAGTGCTGGGTGTAGCTGGTTCCGATGCAGCAAGGGCTCGGAGCGCCGGCTGGTAGTCAGTAGCTGAGGCGACGCTTGCTACAGCAACTAGCGCGGTGACGGCGAGGAGTGCTCGCTAGGTGTTGGTATGGTAGTGCTAGTTGGTTTGTGAGTGCGATCGATGTACGAGCTAGCGAGTGGGCTGGTGTTGCGACGAGTGACTCGTCACGTAGCGGCATGGTGACTGCTTCAATTGATTGAGTTGATTGATTGCAAATCGAGTAGATGGTTGAAAAGTCGGCGCGTCTCGATCGCGTTTCCAGTCACGAGCGTGGAATAGAACTTCGAGCGAAGTTTGAATTCCACTGTAGTTTTGTCGACATGATGGACGGTTGATGGTCGTCGAAGAAGGTCGCGGAGGGTGGTAGTCCGGTTCCGTCGCTCATGAATCGGTGGTACCTGCTAGAAGACAACCATAAGTAGAATGGTGAAGGTCCATAAGTAGAACGGTGGAGGCGTGTGTATCTCTGGCTGGTGATCCATGTTGGTGACCGACGTCGATGACTGCGTTGTGTCCGTCGACATCAACGTCGACGTGGTGATCAAACCAGGTGGCTGCTGAGTTGTGTGTGGACGTCGTCTATGTTTGGTGGCTTGACAATAAATGCAAGGAGGGCCCTTGCGATGACAGTTTGTGCAAGTGGTACGAATACCAGTGCGTTTGTTTGAGATGGACATTGACACTTTTCGGCAATCGTTGACATAGAAGGAGAGACTGGACGGAGCATGCTAATCGCGCTAAGAGAAAACGTGTCCGTCTGAACGAGTCGGCATGTTCGTGTCGATGTGAACATGCAGATACAAAGACATTGGTCGTGACAAGATGATCTGATCTGAACGTGCTGCTGGAAGAACGTGTTGACCTTCGCGAGGTGGCTGGCTGACAACTGGCTGCAAAGCCTCAACAGTATTTACATTGGCGAGCTCCAACTGCCCGACAGCACCGACAGTACAGATGGTCGATCCTTCCGTCGACAGGTTAAAATGCTGATCCAAGTGATGACGAAAGTAGCGACAAACAGCCTCACAAACAAGAGCGAGTCCGGCGGTGCACGCAGATTTTTCTTCTTGCTCGGCTTCCGTGTCGTCTCGTTCGTGAGCCCGTCTGTATGCGCTGCAGCATGTCAGTCGGCGCGATGTCCAGCATGTGTGAGGTCTACCATCCCCATCCGCCACCGTAGCCTCCCCATCCACCGTAGCCACCCCATCCCCCGAAGCCACCCCAGGGACGTCCCCATCCCAAGCCTCCCCACCACTCCTTGGACTTCTTGCCTTCCACACCGATGACGGCAGTAGGCTCGTTTTCCGCAGCTACATCAGCAGCAGCCTCAACAGGATGCGAATGTCGCTCGGTAGGACCCGCTGCCATCGTGTCAGTGCTGGGTGTAGCTGGTTCCGATGCAGCAAGGGCTCGGAGCGCCGGCTGGTAGTCAGTAGCTGAGGCGACGCTTGCTACAGCAACCAGCGCGGTGACGGCGAGAGCAGTGCACTTCGTGGTCGATTTGGTCGGTTGGTCGAGTACTTGCTCGCTAGGTGTTGGTGTGGTAGTGCCAGTTGGTTTGTGAGTGCTATCGATGTACGAGCTAGCGAGTGGGCTGGTGTTGCGACGAGTGACTCGTCACGTAGCGTCATGGTGACTGCTTCAATTGATTGAGTTGATTGATTGCAAATCGAGTGGATGGTTGAAAAGTCGGCGCGTCTCGATCGCGTTTCCAGTCACGAGCGTGGAATAGAACTTCGAGCGAGGTTTGAATTCCACTGTAGTTTTGTCGACATGATGGACGGTTGATGGTCGTCGAAGAAGGTCGCGGAGGGTGGTAGTCCGGTTCCGTCGCTCATGAATCGGTGGTACCTGCTAGAAGACAACCATAAGTAGAATGGTGAAGGTCCATAAGTAGAACGGTGGAGGCGTGTGTATCTCTGGCTGGTGATCCATGTTGGTGACCGACGTCGATGACTGCGTTGTGTCCGTCGACATCAACGTCGACGTGGTGATCAAACCAGGTGGCTGCTGAGTTGTGTGTGGACGTCGTCTATGTTTGGTGGCTTGACAATAAATGCAAGGAGGGCCCTTGCGATGACAGTTTGTGCAAGTGGTACGAATACCAGTGCGTTTGTTTGAGATGGACATTGACACTTTTCGGCAATCGTTGACATAGAAGGAGAGACTGGACGGAGCATGCTAATCGCGCTAAGAGAAAACGTGTCCGTCTGAACGAGTCGGCATGTTCGTGTCGATGTGAACATGCAGATACAAAGACATTGGTCGTGACAAGATGATCTGATCTGAACGTGCTGCTGGAAGAACGTGTTGACCTTCGCGAGGTGGCTGGCTGACAACTGGCTGCAAAGCCTCAACAGTATTTACATTGGCGAGCTCCAACTGCCCGACAGCACCGAAAGTACAGGTGGTCGATCCTTCCGTCGACAGGTTGACATGCTGATCCAAGTGATGACGAAAGTAGCGACAAACAGCCTCACAAACAAGAGCGAGTCCGGCAGTGCACGCGGATTTTTCTTCTTGCTCGGCTTCCGTGTCGTCTCGTTCGTGAGCCCGTCTGCATGCGCTGCAGCATGTCAGTCGGCGCGATGTCCAGCATGTGTGAGGTCTACCATCCCCATCCGCCACCGTAGCCTCCCCATCCACCGTAGCCATCCCATCCCCCGAAGCCACCCCAGGGACGTCCCCATCCCAAGCCTCCCCACCACTCCTTGGACACCTTGCCTTCCGCACCGATGACGGCAGTAGGCTCGTTTTCCGCAGCTACATCAGCAGCAGCCTCAACAGGATGCGAATGTCGCTCGGTAGGACCCGCTGCCATCGTGTCAGTGCTGAGTGTAGCTGGTTCCAATGCAGCAAGGGCTCGGAGCGCCGGCTGGTAGTCAGTAGCTGAGGCGACGCTTGCTACAGCAACTAGCGCGGTGACGGCGAGGAGTGCTCGCTAGGTGTTGGTATGGTAGTGCTAGTTGGTTTGTGAGTGCTATCGATGTACGAGCTAGCGAGTGGGCTGGTGTTGCGACGAGTGACTCGTCACGTAGCGTCATGGTGACTGCTTCAATTGATTGAGTTGATTGATTGCAAATCGAGTGGATGGTTGAAAAGTCGGCGCGTCTCGATCGCGTTTCCAGTCACGAGCGTGGAATAGAACTTCGAGCGAGGTTTGAATTCCACTGTAGTTTTGTCGACATGATGGACGGTTGATGGTCGTCGAAGAAGGTCGCGGAGGGTGGTAGTTCGGTTCCGTCGCTCATGAATCGGTGGTACCTGCTAGAAGACAACCATAAGTAGAATGGTGAAGGTCCATAAGTAGAACGGTGGAGGCGTGTGTATCTCTGGCTGGTGATCAATGTTGGTGACCGACGTCGATGACTGCGTTGTGTCCGTCGACATCAACGTCGACGTGGTGACCAAACCAGGTGGCTGCTGAGTTGTGTGTGGACGTCGTCTATGTTTGATGGCTTTACAATGAATGCAAGGAGGGCCCTGGGGCCGTCACTATCTGCCATGGATACAAGATTGAATAAAGCGCATGAAGCTTACGCACCATTTGCCGCCGCTGGTCACGCCGAACACTTACACTTCTCGGTCCTTGCACTCGCTAGTTCACGTAGAAATTGCCAGAATTTTTCTTCATCAGCTCAATATCATACGCATCCCGGGCACTTTTATCGGAAAGCACGCTGTACGCTGCTGTCATGTCCTTAAACAAATCAGCATGCGACATCACCTTTGACTTATCTGCAGGTACAAACGATTAGAAAGTGAACATACGCATTAATTAAAAACAGCATGGTTCTTGTCAATTGAAATGCTTACCTGGATGATACACACGCGCCAATTTGTGGTACGACCTCTTGACTTGGTCGCTCGTCGCTGTCTTGTCAATACCAAGCACTTCGTAATGCGTACGGCATTCGGTCTTCAACGCCAAAAATGAAGCCCGACTACTTGCACCTGACGACTGGAATCCGCCCCGCCAGTTCCCATGATCAAAACTGTGACGATGTATTCTTGATCTTGCAACTCGAGGAGAAAATGAAGTTGGAGGTGCCGTAAAATTGCTTCTGACGTTACTCGGATGAAGCTTAAAGTCATCAACAGGACTTTTTGACCCTTGACATGCTTCTGACTCTTTCTTCGATGCTCCACTGTTGGAAGTGGAACCCGCCGACTTGGTTGCGTGGAAAAATTTTCCGTTCTTTTTTCCAGTAATTGCAACTGGATTGCGATTCTTGTACGCTTGTCCAAACAAAAAAGTACTGCTAGTCTGGGTACGATTTCGGTACTGCTGTTCAAATTGCACTTCTCCGTCATCCACTTTCTGCTGCTTGACATCGTCACACTTCTCATCCATTTTATTTGTAAATCGTTTTACCTCCAACACATCACATAATCTCGCTGACGCTTTCTTCTCAAACGGGATCTTGGTCGCACGATCAATCTTCCGTTTCTTCATGTCCACACTTGAACTTGACGACAACAAGCCCGCCATCTCGAGATCTCGTTTCTTTGGCAAGACCTTCAGTCCTCGCGCTTCCTCGTGCTGCGTCTCATGATTCTTCATCTTGTCTTTTTTGCCATTTGTACTCGCCAATCGAGCCTGTGCGTCCGACAGCACCTCCTTCTTGTCTTCGTCAACGTCCACGGGGTCCGACCACGCTAGTCTTCCCTCTTGACTGGGGTCAATTTCACCCGGACGCAGCCGTCTCGGATCATCGCTCACGACCACGCTGTTCTTCTTCTGCGCTGCGTCCAGTAGTCGCTCATAGTGGTATAGACACTGCGCTGCTGTGCGCCCCACAATATCCGCAATCGCTTGCCACTGCAAGGGCATGAGCTTGGCGTGATGCAGAATGTTAAATTCTGAAGAGCACTGGACGAGAGAACGAAGCTTGAAGAACGCTGAAGAAGTCTGCATTGCGAAGTGTAGACGACTTGTGCTGAAGAAGGAATATTTGGAAGTGAATTTATTTGTGGGTTTTGTTAAAGCTACCTGATTTATCTCTGCACTGATTTATATGTTGTCCACATATACATCATGAATCATAAATCATGTAGGTCATCCAATCATCCTATGCGTCTAATCATTGGTAAAAACTCACCGTAATTAAGCGGGATCGACTTGGACAGGTTTACGGTTCCCATGGTAGCTGATAGCAGTACCTCAACCGTCAACCCACAATACGCCCCCTCAATGCGAACACGCGTGTATGCCGAGCGCTTCCGTCAAGTCCTTGTGGCGCGGTCCTGGCAGTCCCTTCGTCATGATGTCCGCCAACATGATCGTAGTCTCACAGTACTCCAACTTGACATCACCACGCTTGACTTCATCACGAATGTGGTGGTACTTGATGTCGATGTGTTTGGCCCGACCATGGTTCACCGGATTCTTCGTCATCTTGATGCACGACTGGTTGTCTTCCATGATCTTGAGCTCGGGTCCAGACTTGTCCTCTGCGGCATCCAGAATCTCGCACAGCAATCGATGCACCCACTTGCCTTCTTGAATCGCCAGACTTAGTGCAATGTACTCAGCTTCACTTGTTGACAGCGACACACTTGACTGCTTTTTGCTTACCCAGCTCACCGGAGCACCCATCAGGATAAACTCGTATCCTGAAGTCGACTTGCGGTCTGCATGGTCGCCGGCCCAGTCTGCATCCGAGTAGCCACAAAAGTCTATCTTGTCATCAGGCTTGAAACAGATACCGTGCGACTTAGTCCCTTGTAAGTATCGCAAAATGCGCTTGACCGCCATCCAATGCTCGACTTGGGGGTTCTCCATGAAGCGCGAAACGTAACTCACAGCAAAGGCAATGTCCGGTCGTGTCGCGGTCATCAAGTGCATCAGAGCGCCTACTGCTTCACGAAACGGGGCGTCGATTTTAGTTGCTGCGGTACTTGGTATGAGTCGAGAACTGATGTCTGTTGGGCTGGTGACGGCTTTGCAGTCGCTCATGCCAAAACGCTTGAGAACATCTTCCACGTAGCGTCGCTGGCACATCGTCACGCTACCGTCGTCGTTGTCCACCAGCTCGATGCCCAACACGAATGCGCACTTCCCACTGTCGGTCATTTCGAAACGCGCCTTTAAGTCACTCTTGGTGCGCATAATCAGTTCGGTTGAGCTGCCAGTCACCAACACATCATCGACGTATACCAGCAAAAGCACGCACTCGCCACTTGTAATCTTGAGATAAAGACACGGGTCAAAATCGGAGACTTGAAATCCAATGGAGCAGACGAACTCATGAAAAGTCTCGTTCCATACGCGCGATGCTTGTTTTAGTCCGTAGATCGCCTTGACCAGTTCAAAGCAGTCAAAGTCTTCATCAACTTCGACTCCTTCTGGGATCGCGCAGAATACCTTTTCCTTCATTTCTCCGTAAAGGAAAGCTGTCACCACGTCCAGTTGGTCCAGTGTCCAGCCAAAGTACTTCGTGATTGCAACCACCATGCGCAGCGTCACGTACTTGACTACCGGCGAAAACGTTTCCGTGTAGTCGATGCCATATTTCTGCTTGAACCCTTTTGCCACGAGGCGCGCCTTGCATTTCTCGATGGATCCGTCAGCTTTCCGCTTGATCTTGAATACCCACTTGGTGCCAATGGTATGCTGTCCAGACGGCAGTTTGGTCGCTCGAAACACGCCACGAAGTTTCATCGAGTCCAACTCGGCACAGATTGCCTTACGCCAATGCACTTGATCTGGTCCACTAACAGCATCTCCAAACGTTGTCGGCTCAGACAAGTCAGTACCTTCGACTGCATTGGCACTCGCTCGCCAAAAGACTTGAGGTGTAGCATCCTCGTTATCTTCGTCACTGCCCTTTTGCTCTTCGTCCAGATTGTCTCGAGCGCTTGATCGTCGCTTCGCTTGGTGCGATTCAGAGTCATCCGGGGCACTTGCTTCTTCTAATCCGGTTCCACGACGCTCAAGAAGTGTCCGTTGTAGAACTTGTTCTTGACTGTTTGAACGGCTTTTGCGTTTTCCAGTTTGCTTGAACTGCATGGGGTGAGGCTCATCGCTGATGTTCATCGATTCGATATCCAGCGCAGTGTCATCAACTATTCCTTGTGGTAGTCTCGGCGAGAAACCAAGTGTTGATTCGTCGAATGTGACATCGCGAGATATCACCACTTGATCCGCTTCAATGTCGTAAACGCGATATGCCTTTGACACTTCTTCGTACCCCATGAATAGTCCTTCACGAGCCTTCGGATCCCATTTCGATCTCTTTTCCTTAGGGGTCAGCACAAACGTTCGGCAGCCGAAAACCCGCATGTGCTTCACACTTAGTCGAAATCCGTTGACGATCTCGAACGGGGTTTGATCTTGGCACTTGGGCGATGGTAGGCGATTCTTGATGTAGATTGCCGTCATTGCTGCTTCAGCCCAAAAACACTTGTCCAGCTTGGCGTAGTGAAGCATGCTGCGCCCGATCGTCACAATAGTTCGAATTGCCCGTTCCGCCGTGCCGTTGGTCTGATGCGCATACGGAACGGTAACTTGCTGCTCGATTCCTTGATCATCGTAAAATGCCTTGAGCGAATTCGCCGCAAATTCTCGTGCACCATCGTGTCGAACGAACTTGACCTTGTAGTCAAACTGCGTCTGTACTGCCATGATGTACTTCTTGATGCACTCTTCGCTGTCGGACTTGGCGCGCAGACTGAAACCCTTCATACATCCGCTGCCTTCATCGACGATCAGCAGCAAGTATTTGCTTCCACCTAGCGAGTCGACTTCCATTGGACCACAAGTGTCGATGTGTAGAAGCTCAAACGGATCGTAGTGGCGCTTGTTTGGGTTGCTCGGGAACGGTCGTTGAACCATTTTTCCTTCTAGACAACCTTGACACACGCTTGATACGCTCAATTTTTCTGGCTTCTTGGCATCCTTGATCATGCCCTTGGAGACCATTCTGCACAAGACATCAATCGGTGCGTGGCCCATACGCGCATGAAGGTTTTCGACTCTTGGTCCTGAAGCCGCATTCACCGATCGTTGGGATGTACGAAGCCAGTAGAGGCCATCCACAAGATCGGCCATAGCTATTACTTGCTTGGAGCCTTTGTGCGAAATCTTCATCTCGTCACCATCAAACAACACTTGAAACTTGCCGCTTTTGTTGATTTGTGGTATCGACAGCAAGTTCTTGTTCATGCTTGGGACGTAAAGCGCGTTCTTGATCTCGACTTCGCGCTCTTCACCGTTAGACAGGGTCACCTTTTCGATGATTGTCCCGACACCGTTGATCGCAGCCTTGTTCCCATCTGCAACCAACACTTCGCCTTCATTGCGCTCGTCCAGAAATTCGAACTTGGACTTGTCATAGCAGATGTGATGTGTTGCACCGCTATCAATCGCCCACATTCCAGACATGCTCTTGGTCGTTGAAAGTCCGCATTCCAGCGAAACAGCAAACGCCACTCGGTCATAGTCACAGTTGCTGTTGCCGTTGAAGCCTTGCCACTGAACTTGATTCGCTCCGCGTCCACGTGCATTGCCGCCGCGTCGAGCTCCCCGATTGTCTTCCTTCTGCTTGGTCCAGCACTTTTCCACCGTGTGCCCCAATTTTCCGCAGAACGTACACTGACGAACCTCACGCTCGGTACTGAAGGCCTTGGTCGCTTCTTCAGTTTTCACCGATGTCGTCTTTTTCCCTTGTCTCTTGATGTGCTCATTCGTCAGCACTTTCACGACGTCTTGCGTCCGCAGTTCCGCGCTGCTCATCTCCAAGTTCAGCACGACGTTCTCGTAGCTCTTGGGGAGGCTGCACAACAAGCAGATCGCCACGTCCTCATCCTCCATCTTGGCGCCGATGCTGCTGAGCTTGGCGCTGATGTTGAGAACTTCATTGCAATGATGCATCACATTGCCGCCTTCCGCCATCTCCATGCTGAACAGCTGCCGCTTCAAGAAGATCCGTCCCGCCTTCTGCGATCCGCCGTAGAGAGTCTTCAACCGTGTCCACGCAACCCATGCCTCGTCGCAGTCATCAACCACGTGATGATAGTCCGCGCTCATGTGAAGTAACATCAAGCCGAACGCAATGTTGTTCGTCTTGACGTACTCATCACTGGCGCGAGGATCGGCGAAGGTGGGGGTGGTCTCCCGGTTGACCACGTGCCACGTCGACTTGGTCAGGAACACGCCACGCATGTAGCGGCTCCACGTCGCGTAGTTGTCTCCATCGAATCTATCGATAGAGATCTTGGTGGCGGAATCTTGAGCAGAGGACATCGTACTTGGGCTCATAACCTGTTAAATTCTGAAGAGCACTGGACGAGAGAACGAAGCTTGAAGAACGCTGAAGAAGTCTGCACTGCGAAGTGTAGACGACTTGTGCTGAAGAAGGAATATTTGGAAGTGAATTTATTTGTGGGTTTTGTTAAAGCTACCTGATTTATCTCTGCACTGATTTATATGTTGTCCACATATAAATCATGAATCATAAATCATGTAGGTCATCCAATCATCCTATGCGTCTAATCATTGGTAAAAACTCACCGTAATTACGCGGGATCGACTTGGACAGGTTTACGGTTCCCATGGTAGCTGATAGCAGTACCTCAACCGTCAACCCACAATACAGAAGCTTTTCTTCCTCTTCGCGACTCCACTCAGCCAGGTTGATGGTCGGACGGAGCCACTCGTACCTATTGGTAACGGTGTTGGTTACTGATACTAATGACCATATGTCATGGACGACACTGTGTGATAGTGTGTAACGATGGGATCGACTCATCGTTTTGTTACTAATATTATAGAGTCGATATCGATAGGCTTAGAGTAGTACAACGAGACGAACTAAGGACCTAGCTAGATGATAATTCACTTTCCATTTTACCTTCTTCTAAGCTCTCCCACCTCAACTCGCTCTTGGCTGTTGCCAAAAGTCAAAAGGTTATGAGCCCAACTACGCCGGATGCGGGCGACATACTCCGCGAAGATAACTACTTCGTGTGGGAGTTCAACGCAAGGATGAGGCTGGCAAAGAAGGGATTGCTAGAGCACCTAGACGCTATGAAGGCCCCAGAAGAAGGAGACGCAAGCGCGTCAACTTGGAAAGTCAACGACATGAAGGCCTTCGCGATTGTGTCCACAATGATCAGCACAAATCTTCAGTCAATGGTGCGCACGGCAGAGACAACGGCAAAAGCATGGGACATACTGAAGACTTTCTTCCTGCGGCAAAGTATGCACAATCGTGTGCAGTTGCGGCGGCAACTACATGAGTTCAAGTTGGCCAAGGGAGGAAGCATCATGGATCACTTCCTGAGATTTGACGAGCTGTGCATGACTATGCAAGCTGTGGGACAAGAGATCTCACAGGATGAGCATTTGGTCATCCTATTGGGTAGTCTAACGAGAGACTATGACCCTATCGTCAAGATAATTGAGAACATGCCCGGAATGACACTGTTTCACGCTAAGGAAATGCTGAGACGGGAGTACGATGGAATGGCGAGGACAGAACACCAAGAAATCGCACTGAAAAGTACGCACACTTCCAAGTACAAGAAAGGTCCGCGCAGACATATGGGGAGATCAAGTTCAAGAGGTGAAAAGTTTTCGGGAAGGTGTTACCGATGTAACAAATATGGGCACAAGCGTCAAGATTGCAAGGCTGAACAAGTGGAGACAGAGCGATCTGGAGAAGAGAGAGCATTTACTGCGTCAAGTCGGACGTCAGCTGGATGGTTATTGGACAGTGGGGCAAGCAGCCACATGTGTCCCGACAGAAATGAGTTTTCGAATTTAAACTCACTGACGGACCCGATCATGATCACCATAGCAGACGGCAGCGAAGTGGAAGCGCAAGGTGTTGGGACAGTGCGCGTGCAACTCAAGACTGGTGAAGTGATCAGGATCGAAGAAACGCTATGGGTGCCGGGCCTAGACCGAAGGCTACTGTCAATATCGGCATTGTCAAAGAGGGGTCTACAAGTGATCTTCTCAGATCTGAGCTGTCAGATCAGAAGTAACACGGAAGTCGTTGCCCAAATACCAAGACGAAACAAGATGTACGTCTTAGAGTGCAGTCCGGCTGAGGTAGCCAACGTTTGCGGAGAGACATCTCAAGAGCAAGAATCAAGTGACGGATCAGGAGCGGCTGATCTACAAGTGTGGCATGCAAGATTAGGTCACCTGTCAACGAAGATGCTCAAGGGTATGGCAGGTTGCGTCCATGGATTAAAGATCAAGAAGAATCAAGGCGTTGAAGATGATATCGAGATCTGCGAAGGGTGCATCATGGGTAAAGCAACCGTCAAGACGTTTCCGAAGTCACCATACGGACACGTGAAAACCAAGGAGGTGTTGCAGTTGGTCCACAGTGATGTCATGGGACCTATGGAATCGAAGTCTCGAGGAGGATCAAGATTTGTCGTGACTTTTATTGATGATTATTCGAGATATATAGTCGCATACTATATTGAGAACAAGTCGGAAGTGACGGATCGCTTTATAGAGTATAAGGCACTTATGGAGAATCAACTGTCCAAGAAGATCAAGTGTATCAGGACGGACAACGGGACGGAATACGTCAACAGACGTTTCTCCGGTGTATGTCGAAAATCTGGTATCATGCATCAGACGACGGTACCCTATTCGCCACAACAGAATGGGCTGGCCGAACGCATGAACAGGACACTGACAGAGCGGGCTAGAGCAATGCTCAGCCATATGCAAGTGGATAAAATTTGGTGGGCTGAGGCGATGAACACGGCAGTCTATGTGACAAACCGAGTTCCATGTGCTAGTCACCCGACTAAAACTCCATTTGAGTTCATCTTCGGGAAGAAGCCTGACCTCTCCGAGATGTGTGTATTTGGATCAAAGGGATATGCACATGTCGACAAGTCGAACAGGACCAAGATGACCAAGAAGGCGATTCGATGTATTTTTCTGGGTTACTCGGATCAAATCAAGGGGCTTCGAATATGGGATGAAGATGCCAAGAGGGTGACGCACACGAGATCGGCTAAATTCGATGAGAGACCACCACTTCAGTACGTGCAACGTTACAGCAGATCAAGTGACCAAGAGTTTCGCGCTGTTCATGACGAAGACACTGTTTCTATCGATTTAGAACAGCCACGAGTCACGAAAGACATGGACATAGCAATGGAGGACAGTCACAGTGTTCAAGAAGAGAGTCACATGCAAGACAGGCGTACAACAACGATGGCTCTACCATCAAGATGCAGTAGCAAGATGCCTGAACACGTGGGTTCCAATGCTGACGATCCAATGTTTGAAATTGATGATGTGACGATGATTGAAGAAGATCAAGAATCGGCTGAAGACGTGTCAAGACAAGGACAGATGGTGATACGACCAAGTCGACAGACAAGTATTCAAGCATCGCAAGAAACCGCGATGGTTCCACTAGAATCGGTTCAACATGGACAATCTCAAGCGTTAATACCAGTGAATGGTGCTGATGAGGACTTTTATGACGGCTCAGAAGTGTGTCAAGAAAAAGGCACAAAGAGACTACGTATTGGGTATGAGCAAGCATGTGCAGCGTTCGAGACCCCAACGACATACGAAGAAGCTCTTAAGTCACCTCGTCGTGATAATTGGTACAAGGCCATTCAAGCTGAGCTCAAGGCATTAGAGGAAAAGGACACCTGGACTGTTCAAACACAGCGTCCAAACCAGAAAGTGATTGGAACCAAGTGGGTGTTCGCACTCAAACGAAACGAGCTGGGTGAGATTATTCGATACAAGGCACGTCTTGTAGCACTTGGCTACAGGCAGACGTATGGAGTTGACTACATGGAGACATATTCACCTGTGGCAAACCTCAACTCAATACGGGTGTTTTTGGCGGTGTGCTGTCAAAAGGGGATGTTGATTCATCAATATGATGTCGACACTGCGTTTCTGTATGGCGTTTTGGAAGAAGAGGTATACGTATACCCTCCTCTGGGTGTTCGTGCAGAACATAATCAAGTGCTTAAGCTGAATCGCAGTCTGTATGGGCTGAAACAAGCGGCCGCTACATGGTACAAGACAATTTCGTGTGTGTTTGTGGAGATGGGGTTCTTTTCATGCGTGGCAGACTCATGCATTTTCGTCAAAGAGACCAAGGGCTCGTGGATTTACGCTGCATTATATGTGGACGACCTTCTAATTGGGGCTGAATCTACTGGAGTGATGGAAGATGTGGCAGCTCAACTATCAAGTCGTTTCCAGTTGAAGATACTAGGGGGTGTTCGATACGTTCTTGGAATCGAAGTCAAGTACCTGCGCAACAATCGACGTCTGAAGATCAGTCAAGGATCGTGTATATCAAGAATGGTCGAGAAATTTAATCAAGTTGATGCGAAAGCAGTGTCAAATCCAAGTGTTGAAGGGCAAGCGATGGTCAAGATGGACAAAGCTGACACAAGAATGAAGAATCGACCGTATCGATCGTTAGTGGGGTCGTTGTTGTATGTGGCAACAGGCACACGACCAGATATTGCGTATACAGTATGTCAGCTGAGTCGTCATTTGGAATTTCCACATGAAGAGCACTGGAATGCAGCGATTCGAGTGTTGCGATATCTGAAGACGACGCAGAGCAAAGGAATTTGTTATGAAGGAGTTTCAGGCAATCTTCAGCTGAGCGCGTACACCGATGCAGACTGGGCAAGTAACAAGTGGAATCGCAGATCGATTTCGGGAGTTTTTATCATGATTAATGGCGCACCTGTGATTTTCAAGTCGAAGATGCAGCAGAGCGTGGCACTGAGCACGGCAGAAGCAGAGTATATGGCTCTTTCTTTATGTGTGCAGGAGGTTCTGTGGACAAGAAGTCTACTCAAGGAGATGCAAGTGCAGATTAACTATGCTGTCAAGATTCACGAAGACAACCAGAGTGCAATCGCTATCGCTAAGAACGACGGCTATCAAAGTCGAGCGAAACATATCGACATCAGATACCATTTTGTGCGCGAACAGGTGAAAGACAAGATTATCGACCTGCAGTATACTGAAACCAAGTCACAGCTGGCAGATTTTCTGACCAAACCGATTTCGACAAAGAAGTTCGAGTCGCTGCTGGACAAGGCCAGGATCAGAGACTTCTAGTCGAGGGGGAGTATTGGTAACGGTGTTGGTTACTGATACTAATGACCATATGTCATGGACGACACTGTGTGATAGTGTGTAACGATGGGATCGACTCATCGTTTTGTTACTAATATTATAGAGTCGATATCGATAGGCTTAGAGTAGTACAACGAGACGAACTAAGGACCTAGCTAGATGATAATTCACTTTCCATTTTACCTTCTTCTAAGCTCTCCCACCTCAACTCGCTCTTGGCTGTTGCCAAAAGTCAAAAGTACCACCGCGCTATACACTGCTTGATCGACTTGCGCGGGAGCAGAGATGCCACGCGCGCCCACTTGCTCGTACCGTACCTCTCCACAGCCTTTTTGAGGGTCTCATCCTCGTTTTTTTTTCACCCGCCGCCCTTGATCAACGTCCGCATCGACACCATAAGTCTTGTAAACAGAGACAAAGAGAGAGAGAGAGATAGAGAGAGAGAGTGGAGTACAGCGTCTATTTGTCCAAACTTAAATAGCGTTGACCACAAACTAGACGTTCGCAGTAGTTTATATGTGAAGTTGGCATATAGTTGGTGTGCACTTGGCGTAGAGGATCTTTTGACCTGAAGTTTGTCACAGCAGAGTGCGGCCGGACGCTGCAGCTACAGCCGGAGCTCGTGGAGCGCACTAGACGCACGGTCAAGGAGCTACGGTAAAGGCGAAGGGCGTGCATGCAGATCAGGCGGCATTTCTGGCCGCGCATGCTGCGAGTCTTGGGGATCTTGCTGCGCGAATGACGTGTGTAACTTTGGCAAAGTGCTTCAAAGACCTGCACAAGTGGGGCCAGTCGCTGGTGTGTGAGAGACGCGACGTGATGATGGTCAGGCTGAAGCAGGGATACGGGCGGTCGCGATGTAGGTCCATGACCTGGCGGTTACACCCATAAAGGTACACAGACGGGAGAGAAGACGGAAACTGGCGGGCTCATCTAAAGATTATTCAATAAACATGACGTTGCGGTGGGTTGCTTTGCTGGGCAGAATCTGTCGGGAGAACTAGTTAAGTCTGTAAAGATTGAGATGAAGCAGCAGATCGAGTTTGAAGAGGCAAAGGTACGTGTAGGCGAGTTGGAAGTCATCTCTATAAAGAAGATCCGTGAGTGAATTCTCTGGCACTACCACACCAACACCTAGCGAGCAAGTACTCGACCAACCGACCAAATCGACCATGAAGTGCACTGCTCTCGCCGTCACCGCGCTAGTTGCTGTAGCAAGCGTCGCCTCAGCTACTGACTACCAGCCGGCGCTCCGAGCCCTTGCTGCATCGGAACCAGCTACACCCAGCACTGACACGATGGCAGCGGGTCCTACCGAGCGACATTCGCATCCTGTTGAGGCTGCTGCTGATGTAGCTGCGGAAAAAGAGCCTACTGCCGTCATCGGTGCGGAAGGCAAGGTGTCCAAGGAGTGGTGGGGAGGCTTGGGATGGGGACGTCCCTGGGGTGGCTTCGGAGGATGGGGTGGCTACGGTGGATGGGGAGGCTGCGGTGGCGGATGGGGATGGTAGACCTCACACATGCTGGACATCGCGCCGACTGACATGCTGCAGCGCATGCAGACGGGCTCACGAACGAGACGACACGGAAGCCGAGCAAGAAGAAAAATCTGCGTGCACTGCCGGACTCGCTCTTGTTTGTGAGGCTGTTTGTCGCTACTTTTCGTCATCACTTGGCTCAGCATGTCAACCTGTCGACGGAAGAATCGACCATCTGTACTGTCGGTGCTGTCGGGCAGTTGGAGCTCGCCAATATATATACTGTCGAGGCTTTGCAGCCAGTTGTCAGCCAGCCACCTCGCAAAGGTCAACACCTTCTTCCAGCAGCACGTTCTTCCAGCAGCACGTTCAGATCAGATCATCTTGTCACGACCAATGTCTTTGTATCTGCATGTTCACATCGACACGAACATGTCGACTCGTTCAGACGGACACGTTTTCTCTTAGCGCGATTAGCATGCTCCGTCCAGTCTCTCCTTCTATGTCATCGATTGCCGAAAAGTGTCAATGTCCATCTCAAACAAACGCACTGGTATTCGTACCACTTGCACAAACTGTCATCGCAAGGGCCCTCCTTGCATTCATTGTCAAGCCACCAAACATAGACGACGTCCACACACAACTCAGCAGCCACCTGGTTTGGTCACCACGTCGACGTTGATGTCGACGGACACAACGCAGTCATCGACGTCCGTCACCAACATTGATCACCAGCCAGAGATACACACGCCTCCACCGTTCTACTTATGGACCTTCACCATTCTACTTATGGTTGTCTTCTAGCAGGTACCACCGATTCATGAGCGACGGAACCGAACTACCACCCTCCGCGACCTTCTTCGACGACCATCAACCGTCCATCATGTCGACAAAACTACTGTGGAATTCAAACCTCGCTCGAAGTTCTATTCCACGCTCGTGACTGGAAACGCGATCGAGACGCGCCGACTTTTCAACCATCTACTCGATTTGCAATCAATCAACTCAATCAATTGAAGCAGTCACCATGACGCTACGTGACGAGTCACTCGTCGCAACACCAGCCCACTCGCTAGCTCGTACATCGATAGCACTCACAAACCAATTGGCACTACCACACCAACACCTAGCGAGCAAGTACTCGACCAACCGACCAAATCGACCATGAAGTGCACTGCTCTCGCCGTCACCGCGCTAGTTGCTGTAGCAAGCGTCGCCTCAGCTACTGACTACCAGCCGGCGCTCCGAGCCCTTGCTGCATTGGAACCAGCTACACTCAGCACCGACACGACGGCAGCGGGTCCTACCAAGCGACATTCGCATCCTGTTGAGGCTGCTGTTGATGTAGCTGCGGAAAACGAGCCTACTGCCGTCATCGGTGTGGAAGGCAAGAAGTCCAAGGAGTGGTGGGGAGGCTTGGGATGGGGACGTCCCTGGGGTGGCTTCGGGGGATGGGGTGGCTACGGTGGATGGGGAGGCTACGGTGGCGGATGGGGATGGTAGACCTCACACATGCTGGACATCGCGCCGACTGACATGCTGCAGCGCATACAGACGGGCTCACGAACGAGACGACACGGAAGCCGAGCAAGAAGAAAAATCTGCGTGCACCGCCGGACTCGCTCTTGTTTGTGAGGCTGTTTGTCGCTACTTTTCGTCACCACTTGGCTCAGCATGTTAACCTGTCGACGGAAGGATCGACCATCTGTACTGTCGGTGCTGTCGGGCAGTTGGAGCTCGCCAATGTACATACTGTTGAGGCTTTGCAGCCAGTTGTCAGCCAGCCACCTCGCGAAGGTCAACACCTTCTTCCAGCAGCACGTTCTTCCAGCAGCACGTTCAGATCAGATCATCTTGTCACGACCAATGTCTTTGTATCTGCATGTTCACATCGACACGAACATGTCGACTCGTTCAGACGGACACGTTTTCTCTTAGCGCGATTAGCATGCTCCGTCCAGTCTCTCCTTCTGTGTCATCGATTGCCGAAAAGTGTCAATGTCCATCTCAAACAAACGCACTGGTATTCGTACCACTTGCACAAACTGTCATCGCAAGGGCCCTCCTTGCATTCATTGTCAAGCCACCAAACATAGACGACGTCCACACACAACTCAGCAGCCACCTGGTTTGATCACCACGTCGACGTTGATGTCGACGGACACAACGCAGTCATCGACGTCGGTCACCAACATTGATCACCAGCCAGAGATACACACGCCTCCACCGTTCTGCTTATGGACCTTCACCATTCTACTTATGGTTGTCTTCTAGCAGGTACCACCGATGCATGAGCGACGGAACCGGACTACCACCCTCCGCGACCTTCTTCGACGACCATCAACCGTCCATCATGTCGACAAAACTACAGTGGAATTCAAACCTCGCTCGAAGTTCTATTCCACGCTCGTGACTGGAAACGCGATCGAGACGCGCCGACTTTTCAACCATCTACTCGATTTGCAATCAATCAACTCAATCAATTGAAGCAGTCACCATGACGCTACGTGACGAGTCACTCGTCGCAACACCAGCCCACTCGCTAGCTCGTACATCGATCGCACTCACAAACCAATTGGCACTACCACACCAACACCTAGCGAGCAAGTACTCGACCAACCGACCAAATCGACCATGAAGTGCACTGCTCTCGCCGTCACCGCGCTAGTTGCTGTAGCAAGCGTCGCCTCAGCTACTGACTACCAGCCGGCGCTCCGAGCCCTTGCTGCATTGGAACCAGCTACACTCAGCACTGACACGACGGCAGCGGGTCCTACCAAGCGACATTCGCATCCTGTTGAGGCTGCTGCTGATGTAGCTGCGGAAAACGAGCCTACTGCCGTCATCGGTGTGGAAGGCAAGAAGTCCAAGGAGTGGTGGGGAGGCTTGGGATGGGGACGTCCCTGGGGTGGCTTCGGGGGATGGGGTGGCTACGGTGGATGGGGAGGCTACGGTGGCGGATGGGGATGGTAGACCTCACACATGCTGGACATCGCGCCGACTGACATGCTGCAGCGCATACAGACGGGCTCACGAACGAGACGACACGGAAGCCGAGCAAGAAGAAAAATCTGCGTGCACCGCCGGACTCGCTCTTGTTTGTGAGGCTGTTTGTCGCTACTTTTCGTCACCACTTGGCTCAGCATGTTAACCTGTCGACGGAAGGATCGACCATCTGTACTGTCGGTGCTGTCGGGCAGTTGGAGCTCGCCAATGTACATACTGTTGAGGCTTTGCAGCCAGTTGTCAGCCAGCCACCTCGCGAAGGTCAACACCTTCTTCCAGCAGCACGTTCTTCCAGCAGCACGTTCAGATCAGATCATCTTGTCACGACCAATGTCTTTGTATCTGCATGTTCACATCGACACGAACATGTCGACTCGTTCAGACGGACACGTTTTCTCTTAGCGCGATTAGCATGCTCCGTCCAGTCTCTCCTTCTGTGTCATCGATTGCCGAAAAGTGTCAATGTCCATCTCAAACAAACGCACTGGTATTCGTACCACTTGCACAAACTGTCATCGCAAGGGCCCTCCTTGCATTCATTGTCAAGCCACCAAACATAGACGACGTCCACACACAACTCAGCAGCCACCTGGTTTGATCACCACGTCGACGTTGATGTCGACGGACACAACGCAGTCATCGACGTCGGTCACCAACATTGATCACCAGCCAGAGATACACACGCCTCCACCGTTCTGCTTATGGACCTTCACCATTCTACTTATGGTTGTCTTCTAGCAGGTACCACCGATGCATGAGCGACGGAACCGGACTACCACCCTCCGCGACCTTCTTCGACGACCATCAACCGTCCATCATGTCGACAAAACTACAGTGGAATTCAAACCTCGCTCGAAGTTCTATTCCACGCTCGTGACTGGAAACGCGATCGAGACGCGCCGACTTTTCAACCATCTACTCGATTTGCAATCAATCAACTCAATCAATTGAAGCAGTCACCATGACGCTACGTGACGAGTCACTCGTCGCAACACCAGCCCACTCGCTAGCTCGTACATCGATCGCACTCACAAACCAATTGGCACTACCACACCAACACCTAGCGAGCAAGTACTCGACCAACCGACCAAATCGACCATGAAGTGCACTGCTCTCGCCGTCACCGCGCTAGTTGCTGTAGCAAGCGTCGCCTCAGCTACTGACTACCAGCCGGCGCTCCGAGCCCTTGCTGCATTGGAACCAGCTACACTCAGCACTGACACGACGGCAGCGGGTCCTACCGAGCGACATTCGCATCCTGTTGAGGCTGCTGCTGATGTAGCTGCAGAAAACGAGCCTACTGCCGTCATCGGTGCGGAAGGCAAGGTGTCCAAGGAGTGGTGGGGAGGCTTGGGATGGGGACGTCCCTGGGGTGGCTTCGGAGGATGGGGTGGCTACGGTGGATGGGGAGGCTACGGTGGCGGATGGGGATGGTAGACCTCACACATGCTGGACATCGCGCCGACTGACATGCTGCAGCGCATGCAGACGGGCTCACGAACGAGACGACACGGAAGCCGAGCAAGAAGAAAAATCTGCGTGCACCGCCGGACTCGCTCTTGTTTGTGAGGCTGTTTGTCGCTACTTTTCGTCACCACTTGGCTCAGCATGTCAACCTGTCGACGGAAGGATCGACCATCTGTACTGTCGGTGCTGTCGGGCAGTTGGAGCTCGCCAATGTAAATACTGTTGAGGCTTTGCAGCCAGTTGTCAGCCAGCCACCTCGCGAAGGTCAACACGTTCTTCCAGCAGCACGTTCAGATCAGATCATCTTGTCACGACCAATGTCTTTGTATCTGCATGTTCACATCGACACGAACATGCCGACTCGTTCAGACGGACACGTTTTCTCTTAGCGCGATTAGCATGCTCCGTCCAGTCTCTCCTTCTATGTCAACGATTGCCGAAAAGTGTCAATGTCCATCTCAAACAAACGCACTGGTATTCGTACCACTTGCACAAACTGTCATCGCAAGGGCCCTCCTTGCATTTATTGTCAAGCCACCAAACATAGACGACGTCCACACACAACTCAGCAGCCACCTGGTTTGATCACCACGTCGACGTTGATGTCGACGGACACAACGCAGTCATCGACGTCGGTCACCAACATGGATCACCAGCCAGAGATACACACGCCTCCACCGTTCTACTTATGGACCTTCACCATTCTACTTATGGTTGTCTTCTAGCAGGTACCACCGATTCATGAGCGACGGAACCGGACTACCACCCTCCGCGACCTTCTTCGACGACCATCAACCGTCCATCATGTCGACAAAACTACAGTGGAATTCAAACCTCGCTCGAAGTTCTATTCCACGCTCGTGACTGGAAACGCGATCGAGACGCGCCGACTTTTCAACCATCTACTCGATTTGCAATCAATCAACTCAATCAATTGAAGCAGTCACCATGACGCTACGTGACGAGTCACTCGTCGCAACACCAGCCCACTCGCTAGCTCGTACATCGATCGCACTCACAAACCAACTGGCACTACCACACCAACACCTAGCGAGCACTCCTCGCCGTCACCGCGCTAGTTGCTGTAGCAAGCGTCGCCTCAGCTACTGACTACCAGCCGGCGCTCCGAGCCCTTGCTGCATCGGAACCAGCTACACTCAGCACTGACACGATGGCAGCGGGTCCTACCGAGCGACATTCGCATCCTGTTGAGGCTGCTGTTGATGTAGCTGCGGAAAACGAGCCTACTGCCGTCATCGGTGTGGAAGGCAAGAAGTCCAAGGAGTGGTGGGGAGGCTTGGGATGGGGACGTCCCTGGGGTGGCTTCGGGGGATGGGGTGGCTACGGTGGATGGGGAGGCTACGGTGGCGGATGGGGATGGTAGACCTCACACATGCTGGACATCGCGCCGACTGACATGCTGCAGCGCATGCAGACGGGCTCACGAACGAGACGACACGGAAGCCGAGCAAGAAGAAAATCTGCGTGCACCGCCGGACTCGCTCTTGTTTGTGAGGCTGTTTGTCGCTACTTTTCGTCACCACTTGGCTCAGCATGTTAACCTGTCGACGGAAGGATCGACCATCTGTACTGTCGGTGCTGTCGGGCAGTTGGAGCTCGCCAATGTAAATGCTGTTGAGGCTTTGCAGCCAGTTGTCAGCCAGCCACCTCGCGAAGGTCAACACCTTCTTCCAGCAGCACGTTCTTCCAGCAGCACGTTCAGATCAGATCATCTTGTCACGACCAATGTCTTTGTATCTGCATGTTCACAACGACACGAACATGCCGACTCGTTCAGACGGACACGTTTTCTCTTAGCGCGATTAGCATGCTCCGTCCAGTTTCTCCTTCTATGTCATCGATTGCTGAAAAGTGTCAATGTCCATCTCAAACAAACGCACTGGTATTCGTACCACTTGCACAAACTGTCATCGCAAGGGCCCTCCTTGCATTCATTGTCAAGCCACCAAACATAGACGACGTCCACACACAACTCAGCAGCCACCTGGTTTGATCACCACGTCGACGTTGATGTCGACGGACACAACGCAGTCATCGACGTCGGTCACCAACATTGATCACCAGCCAGAGATACACACGCCTCCACCGTTCTACTTATGGACCTTCACCATTCTACTTATGGTTGTCTTCTAGCAGGTACCACCGATTCATGAGCGATGGAACCGGACTACCACCCTCCGCGACCTTCTTCGACGACCATCAACCGTCCATCATGTCGACAAAACTACAGTGGAATTCAAACCTCGCTCGAAGTTCTATTCCACGCTCGTGACTGGAAACGCGATCGAGACGCGCCGACTTTTCAACCATCTACTCGATTTGCAATCAATCAACTCAATCAATTGAAGCAGTCACCATGACGCTACGTGACGAGTCACTCGTCGCAACACCAGCCCACTCGCTAGCTCGTACATCGATCGCACTCACAAACCAATTGGCACTACCACACCAACACCTAGCGAGCAAGTACTCGACCAACCGACCAA